TCTGTCATCATAATAGCGGTGAATTTTCGCCTAAGAAGTTCGTCCCCCCCACGCTTCATGAATGAAAGGCTACTTGTGCCTCTATCACATTTTCCAGACCCAGTAAAACGGCATCGTCTTGATGAATGTAGGTTGTTGATTGGGTGAAACCAAAGGAATGCTGTGAACCGAGAACAAACAACGAGGCTCTGTATTCTCTGGGCCTCACCACAGCATAACAGAACAAGTAACTCCAGTTTGCTCCAGGCACAACTTTTCTAAGACTGTTCACAAAATCCATTCAATACGCTCCAACACACTTTAAAATAAAAAAAATTCAGTGGAATTAATAAAAAAGATCACTATATAAAAGATAACTACTTATTATGGTACGCATGAAAAAGGGCCCAATTTGTTTATTTATTCATTTATTTGCTCAGCAAACATCTCTCTAAGCAGTGTATGATGCTAAATAGAAGAATTAAAATGATCAGTTATGACATGATTTATTTAAACAGTGTAAAGTTTCTCTGGAGAAAAATCTACTATGAGCAAAGTCAAAAGAAAAACAACAAAGCAAGAAAAATAATTTAAGACATACAGTAGTGATAAAGGCAAATGTTCATGATATGCTATACAAAATGTTTCTATAAATCAAAGAGAAAATATTATGGTATATAATATAAAAGGGCAATGATTTGAATACACAAGTCATAAAAAACAAAATACAAATAATCAATATTTGAAAATATGTACACCCTCAATCTCACTCATAATAAAAGCACTAGAAATATTGCAATATAAACAAGACCCCATTACCCGCCATAAAAATCAGCAAAAAAACATTAATTACTTTTCCACTTTCCAAAGTTGGCGAGAAAGAGGCAAATGGGCACTCATACCTTGCCAGTGAAGTCGTAAAGAGCTGCAACATCTAAAGCAAATTAGCCTTTTGTCCATTGCACAGTGGGAAGTAAATAAATGTTGGATAAATGAAAAAATGTAAGTTCCTTCTTACAGTTGCCATCCTCATATAATTCGGTATACTTTTGTAAATAGTAAGCCAATTCACTTTTAACAATAGAACTAATTTCTGATATCAAGATTTGGGGCTTCTTAACCAGAGTCAAAATTAAAAACACCAGTCAGTATCATAACTTGAACAGGTTTGGGAAAGTCTTGCAGGGATCTCATCCTCATGGATTATCAGAACCAAGAAGAATCCTCCCACCTCCCCCAGACAGAAGGAACAAGAGGGTAGACTACAAAAAGAACTGACCTACCAATAGACTCAGTCCCTGCAGAGGTAGCAGCAGCTTGATGCCTAGTATCTCAAGCCAGAGGTCATCTGGGCTCATACAGTGTGAGAGGATCGGTGGGAGTCACCCAGGCAATAAATGACAAAGCCTGAACTAAGATAGGAACATAAGTTATACCTAAAAGATAGATAAGTTATACCTAAAAGGTAGTTATACCTAAAGTGGTATCAAGGATATCACTTTATGGATGTGCGAGTATATATCACAAAGCATCCAGGTGACTCCCAAATTTCTGACTTGGAAAATTGGATGATGATGGCATACTCCCCCATAAACTAAATAAAAGCATTGTTCAGAAGTTTGTCTCTTAAGCCAGATCTCGAGTTTGACTCCAAGTTCTATCGCACACCAGCTACGAGACCCTGCCCAAGTTATTCCTTTTCTCTTCGCCTAGATTTCCTCAAATCTAAAATAGGAATAACAATAATGCCTATTCATAAGGTTGACATGCAGATTAAGTAAAATAATAGCTTAGTGCTTAGTATCGAGCTCTTGGGACAGTGCCAGGAACATAGCAAGGTAGGATAATTGTTAGATTGTTCATATTATAATATTAGTTTAAGGATTTGAAATATTTATCTTTGTTGAAAATTTGTAATAGTAATTCACGTGCCCATGTTTGTCCTCAAGACCACAGACAATGGACATGATGACAAAGGCTGTCGATGCACCGGAATCTGTTCTTGCTCAGGCAGGGTAATGAACACACATCTTAGGACAGCAGCTCTCTTCCTCCAAGTGCTATCATATCCCTCCAGGCAGAATATATCACTGCTCCCCTAAATAGCTCTGCTTCAAACAGAATGGTATATTTAGGATGCCCCAAATATCATACAAATGCTGCCAATTCCGTGTTCCTCCTCATGTTTTGCCTTATGCTCTTAATCATTTGATGCCTACAGTCCTGCTCACACTCTTCCTCCTCCACCAGCTATTTTATGGCAAAGTGTGCTCCCCATTTTGACCTCATAACAATAAGAACTTAGATTATTTTGCTCAGTCATTCTTACAGAAATGTATCTTTTTGTTTTTATATACTACATTTTTCAAACTAAATACATTTTTCTAAAAAATCAAACCTGGGATGGGGCAAAGGGTATACAATCTTATATTACTTTGTTACCTCTGTGGTTGTTTTCTACAGTATAATGCCCAGCAGATTTGTGCAAACACATATTCAGTGGTTGAATGATAGATGTAGCTTCCCTCAACAATGAAGACGCAGGACAGGATGAGATTTAGTTGAAGATTCCAGAACTAAAACAAATATCACTAGAGACAACTTCTTAAAGGGTCTGCCTACTTATATGATATAGCTTAGCTCTTAGGTTCATCAGCTACAAACCTCAAGACTTCACTACCAGGGTCATAGGTTTCCTCTCCATCCGCCTACCACTCATCATCCTTGGAACTTCAGCATCTGTGCTGACCACTCCCCAAACATCTGGCCACTTAGTGAGTACATAACCCTAGAAGTCCCCATTCGTTCTCCATCTTATTGCTAATGCATTTTTATCACACCAACTTTTCTTTAGTAACCAAAAAATAACTAGGCAGTTGTCATACAATAATGGTTAAAAATATGAAATCTAGAATTAGTCAAACTTAGATGCTAAAATCTCTTTTGGGGAACTTATGAACTATATAACACCGAACAAGTTAGTAACTGTTGAGAGACAATTCTTCAGGGCATTTCTATAGCTCTTCTATCAGGTTTTATTCTGCATTATCTGTACAGGTATGTTAGTGTAGCATCAGCCTTTGAAGATACAAAAAGTGTCTCCCTCTGGGAGGGAAGACAGATTTGTTTCCTGACTGAGATAATAAAGACACTGTGTCCTTCCAGGGCAAATTTTAAGCAGTTTTGCTAGCAGCCTCTAATGAGATTGGGAGTTTCCTGAGCTTAGCGTTCTGAGCAGTGACACATCACTAACGCATGCAGCATTCACCAGGGCCATTCAGTACCACCCCACCGGGACCTGAGGGGTAAAGGACCATGACACTCCTGCCACCTGCTATGCCATGAGTAATGAGGTCATTTGTGCCTGACTGGGGAGCCTTTTGTTTCTGCTAGCATCCATGAGCACGTGGCTGGCGAAATGCTAGCTTGCAAGAAGGGTAAGAGCTCAGACCTATCACTGTTCTTAATAATAACCTCTTTATGCCTCAGCTTGCCTACCTGTAAAACGGGTAGGGTGATTAAGACCAGCCTGGGCCTCACAGCTGGACTCTTCAACAGCATTTGCTGACTCTTGCCTGCCTCCCTGCTAAAACGAATCCCATGCTTCCCAGCCCAGTTCTGATGGTGACTCTGAGGCACTGACAGTATAAATCATTCTCCCCTTGAAAGTTTCCAATCTCTGGGCTGTGACTCTACACTAAACTCGTTTTCTTCCTACATTTATGTCCCTCTTTAGCTCCTTCCTGAAATGTCCCACACATACACAAAAAGGAGGTTATTTTGCAAATGTCCTATGACAGTCCTAAATTTCCACAAAATACTAATTAACAATACAACAACAGAAAACCAGTTTTTTTTCAATGGAGGAAGAAAAGGAGCAGTAATTGGAATGAGGGATAGACAGAGTCATGAGATCTTTATCAAAAGGAGTTAAGCATTACAAGAAACCTATAAAATGTTGAGTCATTCAATTATGTAGATGGTCAATATTTATTATTCTCTAAGGTCTAATCTTAATTAAATATTTGCAAAAAATTACTGGACAGAAAACAAGGGATATGCTGGCTGTAACCTATGTGGCCAAGTGATCACTGAAACACAGTGAGAAATGATGGAAAGATGACCAACTGTTAACACATCGACAGATCCCAGGGAATCCCAGCTCCAGCTTTTTGTAGTTTTAAGAACTTGGGTTAGTTACTTAACCTCACCAAGCTTCAATTTACTCACTTTCCAAATGGGGTAAGATTATATACTTTGAGGAATTGTTGATGGGTCACCTTGAGTGGTGAGGATCAGCTGGATGGAGCATTAATTATCTCATGACCCAAAAGGTCACAGGTTTGATTTGGGGTCAGGACATATGCCTGTGTTGCAGATTCTCCCCCATCAGGGTGTGGCTAATCAATGTTTCTCTCTCACATCAATGTTTCTTTCCTTCTTTCTCTCCCTTCCTTCCCTTCTCTCTAAAATCAATGAGCATTTCCTCAAGTGAGGATTAAAAAAAAACGAATTGTTCATGGGTTAGCTCAATACATTTTTATATATGGCAAATATAACTACTGCAAAATTGAAATACTAAAGAATTGCTTCTTAAGGAATTAATAAAAGAGTTGAAAGACATTTATAAATATTTTCCTAAAGCAGCAGTCCCCAACCTTTTTGGCACCAGAGAATGGTTTCACGGAAAACAATATTTCCACAGACCTGGGGGCTGGGGAAAGGGGGAGGAGGAACAGTTTGGGGATGATTCAAGCACATTACATTCAATCTCACCTCCTGCTGTGCGACCCAGCTCCTAACAGGCCCAGACCAGTATCAGCCCACGGCTCAGAGTTCAGGGACCCCTGCCCTAAAGGACATAAAATAGTGTAATATGGTACTAAACTTACCAAACACGGCATTATAGAACTTAAACTCTGGTTGCGTTGAAATTCAAGATGCAGAAAAGTCCTTAGTGTCAGACTTACATAACTCGGTGCTAATCTTAGAAAACCACTTGCTAGACTTGATGAACTTACCTGCAACAGGAAATCAAAGAGGGCCACCTTGGACCACTCCTGATGATGCACCGCAGTGCAACCCCAGTCAGGTCTGGGTGCTCGGCCGTTCTGCCAGCACTTCTGCTTTAGCAACTTCTGGTAAGTCCCCCAGGTGAGCTTAACAGAAGAGTGGGTCTCATTACTTGTTGGAGATAAAGATGAATCCCAGAAAATGACAGGACATGGGCGGCCATCTAGGGAAATGGAGACACAAACACGGTTTTAGCTTGTTATGGCTCAGTGCGTGCCCTTGGGCAGTCGTACATTTTTCACAGCTTCTCTCTCTCACCTGCCAAATGTGAGAGTTTGATTAGATGCCACTTTATGATCCCATTGTCTTCTGAGGCTTCAATATTTTACACCTCAGTGATGCTTCCTGAGAGAAGTCTTATAAAACGGAAAGGTACTGTTAGACAATGAAAAAAATTTTAAGCAAGACACTTTATAGACGGGCAACAATTGCCCACTAACCACCAATAACGACGTCCTCTGGTTAATGTGGTTTTAGTCCACATCTAAAAGTAGCCACCACAAAAAGGAAAGATTCCAGACATTTATAATCGTCTATTCAGTGTCTGAGTGGAGCTGTTCTCTATTTGTAATAACAACTGTCTGATTTTCTGAAGCCGCATTATGAAGAATTTTTAGAAGTCGCAAATTTAACAGTGAAATTGTATGGTTCACACCAGTCACTATAATCTCCAAAGAAAAAAAAGCAAGAGTGTTTTTGGTTTTTGATAGAAATATCAGTGCTCTTTGGCAACAGATCCTGTACTCACTACAACCTCACAAAGTGCACTGAAGCAAATGTCATTTCTTCAACTGCAAGTGTACAGATGATTTTTCAAAATATCTGTCACCCACATTGTTTTTGTCTCACCCTTGATGATTTAGAAATTTCATTGCTGAACTGCATACAAAGAATAAGCCTGACAGAAGTCGCAGTAAACAGGGAAGACCATGAGGGCGTCCAGTGAAAACCAGGAACAGCACTGCCAAGCTCCCATTTCTACCAAATAAAGTCACCAAGCAATGACCCCGAACAGGTTTGCTTCTAACTAAAAAATTAGAATGATACTCTTTGGAGGGGGGGGGAGGGAAGCAAACCAACAACTAAGTCAGAAAGCCCTGAAAAAGCCCACTCAGCCCACTCTCAGCAAGCCTGGACACCAGAAGCCTCTGAAATTATGAGTGGAATGTCTAGACATGACACAGGAATTTTTAAAAGCCCTTTGAAATAACTTAAGAGGTTGTCAAAATATAACTTTTCCATTTTGTTCAAGGCTTTCATTTTACCACCTTGCTTGCCTGCCTTCTTGCAGAGTTCTTATCTAACCGCTCTTGAATTTGGTGTTACAGTGACCTCAGTCATTTTAACAGCCTTCACTTAATCATTCTAACCATCTGTATTCCATTTTTGTTCAAAAAAAACCTTTCTCCCCTTAGACTTGAAAGTTAGGCCAGGGTATGTGAAAAGCCCTTTTAGATTGTGGAGAATATGCCACAGTCATTGCCATACAATTAAGAAAAAAACAGAAAAAAAAAAACAACCAAAAAATATGAACCAGAAATAAAGAACTTCATTTTTAACATTGCCACTCTCGCTCTTTTTCTGTTAATGTTATTTTGTTGCATGATTTGGGACTACTGAGATGTCATTATTTTCTTAGATATAAATATAATTTGAAAGGAGGGTACTCCAAATAGTATGCCAATTTTAAAAATGGTAATAATAATATATTCAAGGCAAAAACAGTCCATTATGCAGCAGGAGGTATACATAGACCAGTGTAACCAAGTACAAGCAGAAGACAAAACACAGCTTTCAAAGACAGGGGACTTCAGACGTCTGAAGATAAACACCAAGAAGCGCTATCAGTAAGTGTGTTTGACCCAAGTCACAGATAGCACTTTGTACTCCCAGCGCTGGGATGAATTCGCAGGGAGTTGAAACCTGATACTAGGTTAACACCACACATCAACCCAGGAGACAGGCCGGCAAGGTCTCCTGGGCAGTTCTCCTCAGACCCTCATAAAAACAAGGAAATGATCTATCTAAACAATTGAAATGGTTAATTAACAACGCTCTGAGCTGTCTTTCCTTTCCTTTAGAAACATTTGCTTTTTATTTTAAAAGTAATGAAAAATAAACCTACTCATTTCAAGAATCATCGAAAAACACTGAAATGTGTAGCTAAGAAAACAAAAACACTGTAATCTCCTATCCCAGTTTTTTTGTGTGTTCTGTTATTTGGGGATGTTCCTCTGGTATTTTCCCATCACTTTCTTTCTCACCTAAAAGACGGGTGAGAAAATTAAATTTTTGTGTTTAGAAATTTAAGGAGTATAGGATATAGTTAGAGCTCAGACTCTGGAATCCAACAGACCTTTCAATTGTGGTCATATTACCTCTTGGCTTTGTAATATTAGGCAAGTATGCAACCTCTCCTTGCTCTTTTCTTCTGCAAAATGACGGTGGTAAGTGTACCTTCCTAAAGGACTTTCTTAGGATAAAGGAGTTCACACACTTAAAATTCTCAACCTGGTACCTGACATAGAGGCATATCTCAGGAAGGTTTTACTATAATTATTATTACATGCATATACACTGTAGGATTACATAATTTATAGTCTTAAACTGGCCTTTATTTGTTTGTGGAGCATCTACTATGTACCAAGCACTGTTCTAGACTTCTATAATTAATGCTTTTTTTTTTCATAAAGCTTCCATTTCCACCTGGGAAAAGAGGTAAAAATTACGCCAAGAAAATAAACTATTTGGGATCATCTTTTATATACAGTTTGTTATAATTATTTCACTAACTATTGTATCATAAGCATTTCTCTTACAGTGAAATGTTTTTAAGTAGAGTGACTCTAACTGTGATATAGTAATCTTGTCCAGGGGTCATGCAGGCTTGGGTAAGGGCAGATGGTAAATATCTGAGTCTTTGAGGGCCACACTTTGAACAGTCTGCATTGTCGCTATTCAATTACTCAGGTGGTCAACTGTCGTTGCAGGAAAGCAAAGACACCATATCAGTAAATGGCCTTGACTGTGCTCCAATAAACTTTATTTCAAGTGTCATAGTAGTACTATTCTCTTTTTTTAATCATTTAAAATCTTCGAAGCCATAAGTAGCTTACATACCACACAAAAAACAGGCAGTGGGCGCTTTGTTCTGCAGACTGTAGTGTATCAACCCCTGATCTAGTCTACGAGGACACAGTATTTCATTGACCACTTCTGTACTTTCGATCATCCACTTTTTGAATGGTATATTTTCTATACTCTTGTTTAAAAAGTTCCCCAACTGCCAAAGGGAGCTTTCAGCTGATAGAAAGAAATGACTTTCAATTAATATTCTATTTTGCTCTATACCCATTCATGTTCCCTTAGCAAAATATTTTGAAACTCTCACATAAAGACATTCCATCCTGCCCTGCTGGAATCAGCGGACCTCAGCAAAAGGGGATTTATAGAAAGCGAAGGAAGAAAGGCAGAAGAAGCAACAATTTTCATGATGAGCCCCCAGGACGGGAAGCTCTGGGGTCTTTTGACACTCAAGTCAGCTTGCTGTACATGCACACAGATGGCCCTGTAGATCCTAAGAGTAGTCAGGAAGGCTCCAGATCTCAGAGCTAGGAGTATTTGTTAGAATGTACTGGGACATGGACCTAACCCACCGCCTATGCTGGAACAAAGAAGGCATACATCACCAGCTAAATACCTGACCGTGAGATTCACCATATCAGAAGTAACTAAGGCACAGTCGCTGGCATTCTGCTGGAAACTGGTAGAATCCTCATTGCCCCCTGCCCTCTCCTCCCAGCTACAGAATCAGCCTTCCCCCACCAGATACCCAGGACACCTGGAGCAGCTCAGCAGGGGGGCACACTCTGCCACACACCATAATAGCCTTTCCACCCTTTCCCTGGGACTGCAGTGGGTTGGGAACCAGACCACCTGAATAAAAGTGTCCCCCCCAACCTTGAATTGAAAGCCTTTAATTGGACTTTTCTGGCTCCAGGTCCTTTCTTAGCCACCTCAGCTACCTAGCAGTACTACTGTAAGAACTCCACTTTTCATGAAAGATGGCTGTTAAAAGAATTAACCGAACTTTGACAGATCTGAAGGGATGACAGAAAGATAGCCTCTAAAAACTGGAAATGGATTAAAGGAACTTACCCTGAAATCTTTCAGAGATGAGGCGCATTCATCTCTTCACATCCAGGTTTGTCAAAATGATGCAGTAATGCGCACTCTCTAGAGAAATCTCAACAGTGAAGAGTAAAATTCTAACTGTCAGAGTGGTGAGAAGGCAGGTTTTAAAAGCTATGTGGGTGTTCAAGTGAATTAAAGGTGATCCAGCTGCCTTTAAAAATGAGACTTGCCAGTCAAATTTTTTCCCCCAAATCTCAATATTTCCCCTGAATTCCAAAGTTCTACCAAGCTGCTTTTTTATTCAAAATCATAAAAAAGACATCCTTTTGAGAAGATAAATGTGAAAGTTCTCTGAGAGTGAACTCCTTTGGCTGGTTTTATGAAATGCCCTTCACTTTGAAAACTGGCTGACTGGTTTTCTTGAACTGTGTGTGGATGCTGAACACGTTGGAATGACTCGGGCTTGTCGGTCTATATTTGTTGCTGAGCAAACCTAAGCAAAAAATGGCCTGTGCGCTCAAATCAAAACTCTTTTCCGTCACGTGGGCCAAGTTCCTTCTCGTGAACAAGGCAAAGAAGGAAAGTGACAGGCCAGCTCAGACCCCTTCATTAACAACAACTCTACAAAAGCCACTACAGGGAGCAAGGGCCCCTCCAGTGGGAGGCTTGTCCCTGTTCCAGGGCACAAAGCCCATGGGGTTCCATCACCCCTGTCCAGCCCATCGCAGGAAAACCTCAGTGCTGCAGGTCTCTAACTGACAAAGACAACTGCTGATGTTGATGAAACTCCAGTGACAGCGTAGCAGGCGTCTAGCTGTTAGTGATCCCTTAAGTACAATCTGCTCTATTTTTTGGCAGTAGGGTTTGGCAATAAAAGTATTAAACTGAAGCGAATAAGAAGGTCAGATCTCTTGGTGTAGAGCTGTTGAATGTGAACAAGTTCATCAATGTGCGCCCTGGGAAAATTGGAATGCAAGGTTCTGTAACAGCCTGGAGGGTGGAGAAAATGTGAAGGATGAGGTGAAATTT